TTGGGGGGGGGGGGGGGGGGGGGGGTGCAGTCTGCAAAGAGTCAGGCCTGGGAGCTGGGGACCTGACTTCCCGCCTTGCCTGCCACCTAAGCAGGGCTGTTTCCACATCTGCAGGATGGGGAGTTGGCCCCTTCCAGCTCTGCCAGTTATGAGTTTTGTTCACACCCTGACTGCACCCCATTAGCTTCCTCTAGGCAGGAAACCACCCCCAGTGCCCCCAAAGCCAGAGCTCCGCTTTGAGCCGTGCACAGGAAATCCACCTCTTGGAGGAAGAAGAGCCGTCATCACAGCCTTTGGAGACGTTCCCAGCAGGCCCCGTAATGGCCTGGGTGGGAGCAGGAGCCGGGCTGGGACCGCTATGGTGCTCTTCGAAATAGATACCTGACACAGCAGCTCCCCAGGGGCCCCCTCCCTCATCCTCTCCTGCCTGAGGCTCCTGCTCCTGACCTCCCTCCCCAAAGTTCAACCTTTTTCCTCGGTAAATGGCTTTTAAGTTTCTCGCCCAGCCTCTCATGTCTATCCATTTAATTATTGAGGAGCCTTCGTGTCGCCAGCCTGGAACATTAACACTGTTAAAAGGGACCCAGAGAGTGCAGACCACAGCCATCAATCTCCCTCCGGCTCTCTCCCCACCGCTCCCGCCCCCTCCCTTTCCTGTCTCACCTGTCCCCTCCTCGCAGCCTGGGGGACTCCTGATCCCCACCCAACCCACTCCTCTCTCCGTAACCTGAGGAGCACAAACTGAGGCCCCAGCCAGGCCACGCTCTCTGTGACCAGATGAGCAGAGGAGAAGGCTGGTGAGGCACCTTGGCCCCAGGCCCCCTCATCCCAGCTAGACCTTCCCCATCCGGGGAACAGTTATCACAAAAGTCACAGCCCACCGTATGGGACGCTGGGCACCTCATCCCAAAGTACCCATGTTCCCAAGAACACGCTTTAAGGTCTAACGCTGACAGTAACCTTTCTTAGAGCCTTGGCCAGGTCAAGTGACCCCTCTCAACTCCTTTGATCTTTCCACCTCCCCCTAATGTGGGCGCCGCCTCCCCTCTGGGAGATGGTGGGGAGGGACCCGCTCCAATGTCACAGTCCCAAGGGCCCAAACAGGCTGTTTGCCATCTTCCTGCAATGGCGTGTGATAAAAAAAAGCTCAGACACGGAAGCTGCCCCAGCCCCACCCAAGCCCTGGCCTTCTGGGAGGCTGGGGGCCTGTGCCCCACCCAGACAGGCCTACAAGGAGTCCGGGCACTGCCCCCTCTGCTACATGACCCAGTTCTCACCTCCATGGCAGGCAGGCTGATGTGACCACTCAGGTAGCCCTGGCCCCACGCACTCTGGGTCTCCCAGCCTTGCAGCTAATGTGGGCAGGTGGAGGGACTGGACCGAACTACCACTCCCAACCATCCCACCAAGGAACGCACCTCCCAGTGTCTGCTCAGACTGTCCTGGGCAAGGGCAGCGTTTCCTTCAAGTCTCCTACTTCCTTCATCTTCGTTTTGCATTCTTCATAATGCACCCACTTGTTCTCAGATTAGAATAGTGTTTTCATCTGGATCATCGAGTAAAACCAAGAAGAAGGTGCAAAGGCAAGAACCACATGGCACAGGGGCCCACGCCAGCCATGCAAAGTTCCGACCCTACCCATGCGGTGACGGCTACTCCAGCCTCCTTTCTTTCCCACCCATCCCCAGCCCCAGCTCAGGGATCTTCGGCACTATTCACCCCCACTTCGACCCAGCCCCCACAACACAAAGGACTGATGCATGCTGGGATTGGACAAATGGGTTCCAGAAAGGGTACAGGAGAGAGGGCTCTAGGCTCAGCGCTCCCCACCCTGCTTGGGGCCAACAGCCTCTCTCAATCCAATCTCTAACTCTAGAGACTGAGGAGAGAAGGGGCCAAACCCATCCAGAGGCTGAGAATCTGACACCAGAGTGAAAGAGGGACCCAGTGGCTTCCTCTCTGCATCCCTTCCTCCTCACCCTCCCGTGTCTCTCTCTCTCTCTCTCTCTCTCTATCTCTCTCTCACACACACACACACACACACACACACACACGCACACATGCACATGTACACACACACAAACACAGAGCAAAGAAGGAGGCTCCGAGAGAGGAGCAGGCACATAATTATGGGTAAAATGCTTGTAATGTTTTTCTCTCTACCCGGTAGCTTTCAGTTGCTTTACCAGCTTAGCGAAGCACTTGGCTCCAATTGAATTGCAAATCAGCAGCTCCTGCCCCAGGAAGAGAGGAAGGGAGTTGGCAGGGAGGGGGCAGGGAGGGATTCCAGAAGGAAAGGGAGAAAGGTGTGCAAGGAGGAAGGGCAGAGGGAGGAAATGAGTGAGGGAAGCTTGGTTCAGGGCCAAGGGCGCCAGAAACAGGGACCGCCTGCTCGCTCCAGGCCTTTTTCCATCTTCATCTCCATTCTCTGCGGCTCAGTGGCCCAACGCCAAACCAGCACACATTTCCTAACCATGATCTTGGGGTGGAGCGGGAGGGCCACGCGGGGCTCGCGCAGTGACCCAGAAGAAAAACACATCTTTCTTGGGAATTGCAATTATTTGAAAACAATGTCAAAACAACAGCCTTCCTTTTCTCTCTGGAAACATCCCTATTTCCATCTGTCTACCTTTCTATCTGTCTGTCTCTTTCTATATCGGTCTGCACATCTCCTCCTCCCTTCCGTTGCTCACAGGCACTTCCTCTTCCCTTCTTAGTTCAGAATTCCCCGCTGAGGGGAATTGATCAAGGAGCTGCCAGCGGCCGGTGCTGTTTCAGCACCACGGTCAGCACCACCGCGCTGGGTCCCGCCCCCCGACACCTTCACTCTGCTGGGCCTGTTCTCTGCATGGGACAGGCCCCAAGTTTTCAGCTACTACTCCAAGGAAAGAACTCTTCCCTCTGGGAGTCAGGAAGGGAAGAGGAGAAAGGAGCTGGCCAGGCCTGGCACCGTGTTTGTGGAAGAAACCTCTGGAGCGAAGCGGCAGCCACTAACCTTGAACAGACGAAGGATGTTGGCCACCATGATGGAGACTGAGCTCCCTGAAGCACCAATAACACCCACCACACGTTCGGGTTTGGTGATGATGGGCGGGCCGCCGCTGCCACAGCGGACCTCCGTACCATCCTTCTCGATGAGCGCCTGCACGAAGGTCAGCGACTGCTCCAGGGCGTGGGTGTCCCTCGAGCAGGTGTCCAGAATGCGGGCGCCCAGCGTGATGTTGGGCAGCAGGTCCGGGTCGTTGTTGATGCGATCCAGGGCAAAGAGCATGGCCTCCAGCCGGTGGATGCCCTTCTCCTTCTTCAGTTCCCCACAGGCCTTGCCCTCCGAGCCCCGGCCATGCACCGGAAACAGGCCCCCCAGTGTGATGTCCCCATCTATGCGGATGGAATTCATGTGAGGGTGGCCCTTGGGCTTCCCCAGGGAGGAAGGCACCCAGGGGCCATAAAGGCTGAGGAGCAGGCAAAAGGGCAGCCGGGCCCACCACCAGCCCCAGCCCCTCTTCCCAGGCATCTTGGAAATCTCTAGAGATCCATGGACAGCAGCCCCACTCCTAGCCCCGGCAGGCCCCGGGCCCCCCAGCCTGGGTGAGCATGAGCAGAGCAGCCCCCACAAGTCTCTCCGGGGTGGCTTCAGCAGCGGGGTGGCCGAGGGCTGCCAACGGGGTAAGCCATGCCGGTGCTCCTTGCCGTCCAGACAACGCTCAGTTGCCCCCACAGGCCATGCCCACAGACGGGGCCACGGGGCAGCAGAGCTCGGGTCTCGGTCCCCACGTCCTGCAGGCCTGTTCTTGCTGGATGACTGAACAGAGCAGCGTGCTCCTAGCTTGGCATGTCTTGGCATCAAAGAGAAAACAGCTCCAATGCTCTCCTCCTACCAACCTTAGAAGGGAGAGAGAAAGAGGGAATCAAATAGAAGCCCAGAGAAGACATCAGCTGTTCTGATCTCTCGTCAGGAGCCTGCGAGGAGACGCGGGAGGTTATCGCCAAAGACTCCACAAATCTCATCCGGTTTCCTCCTGGCTGCTGCTCAACTTGAGTCAAATGGGAGAGCTTAAGGCAGAAACTGGGTCATGTTTGAACATTTCTCGAGGCCTGTACCCACTGCCATCAGGAGCCTGGGCATCAGTGAGCACGCGCCCCAGGGACAGCCTGGGCTGGCCTGGGAGGAACAAGGGCCTCCCTCAACGCTCTCCCACACGACAGAGAAGCAAGAAACCAGTCCCACTGGGCACAACCCCGTTTTAGAGATGAGGACACTGAGGCCCAGAGCAGGAGAGCATTTTGCCCAAGTCACACAGGTAGTGACCAGCAGAACATCGCCTAGCCCCAGGCTTCCCAGCCCCCAGACACTCAGGCTGCTGGGACTCAGAGACAGGGAAGGCCAACAGGGCCTCCTGGAGAAGGAATCGGCTGGGAGCTGCTCCTCTGAGGGCTGCGGAGAAGCTGGGGGGCTGCTGGGGGTCAGGATTCTCCTCCGGACTCAGGGGTGGACCCTCCTGTTTCCTGTTTCCACCCCAGCTGCCCAGGAACGCCAGGCAGAGAGCAAACCCTGGGCCTCCTGAGTGAGCAGCCAGCCTCCCTCTCCTGGTGGCCTCCCTCCCCCTCCCTCTCTCCGCCCATCTTTATCTCTCAATTTCTCCATTGCTCCTTCTCTCTCCCCCACTTCCTTCCTCTGAGAGTGGGGCTCCGGTTACGGCCTGAGCTACTGCACACTATTAGGATCATCGTCATTATTATTGTTGTTGTGATTAAATATTTATCTGCAAGGGTAGAGGAGAGAACACCAGCTCTTCCTCATCTCTCTGCTAATTTGGGCTAATTTCCCCTGGGGTTCCTTCCCTCCCCAACCTCCCTGCTCAAAGCCAGCAACCTCCCTCCCCTCAATTTAGGAGGCCACAGGGAGAATGCTGGGAGCTGAGTCAGGGCTGGGCTGGAACGCCAACCCCAGGCCCCCTTCCTCATGAGGTTGTCAAATGAAGACCAGGAAGCCACCTGCCCGGTGTGTGCCTCAGTTTCCCTAGCCGTTTGGAAGAAGGGCTTGTGTTTGGATTAGGAGGTTTCCCAGGAGAATGTGGTCTCAGAGCCAGCCACCACCGACCTGTAAGCCCCCCATAGAGGCCCAGGCTGCTCCAGTTCTGGGACAGGGGAGGATAGGAGAGGGTACAGAACCTGGGAGTCCAGCCTCAGCTCCTGGGCCTCTCTGGCAAGTGCCTCCGGACCCTCCCATCTCACCCCCTCATCAAAATGCTCCCTCCCATTAGCTCCTCAGAGGCCAAGGACACACTGTGGATCCTCCTTAGCCCCATTCTGCAGGTGAACCCGGAGCCAGTGGCATCCCAAAGGCACACAGCAAGTCAGGGTGGGTCCGGGACTCAAAGCCAGCACCAGTCACACAGAGCCTCGGGGGCACCCGCAGGAACGCTCCCTGATACCACCCTCACCCCTGAAGCCAGGACCCTGTGACCTAGGGCTGGCGTCTGTGCTTTGGGGAGGCGTAAGAGCTGCTAAAATACAGGAGAGGGGGTGGCTACAGCTGAATGGAGCTGTCATCATCCCTCACACCTCCGTGTGAGCTCATCAGAGCTCTTTCCCAGGTGGCTGTGGGGACCGAGAGGATGTGGGGACCTAGTTGCTGACGCCAATACTAGGCAATTCAGATAGAGAAACCGGAGAAGGCTTAGACAGGTGCCACAGTCCTGCCACTGCCTGCTGGGGGCCAGGCATGTCCCCTGGAGAGTCCTCAGTTTCAAAATCTGTAAGATGGGTGGGTTGGAGGAAAATCCAGTCGGGGGACACACTGTCCCTGCAGGGGCATTTCCAATTGTCACCATGATGGGAGGGAGTCACCTACTAGCCTGCCTCCAGACAGCGGTCAGAGATGCCCTGGGCACAGCCGCACAAGGAAACACGGTCTTGTCCAAATGCCAATAGTGCCCCGAGGAGAAATAACAGCAAATGACAACTTACTGCTCTGTCCAGGCACGGTCCTAAGTGCCCTGCTTACATTTCCTCCGGCGATGCTCGCCTCCCTGTGAGCGAGGGGATACTTCTGTCCCTATCACCCAGCGGAGGAGGCTGAGGCACCGAACCTCAGCTGGTGACACCGAGCCCGGGGACACAGCCTGAGCAGGCTGCCCAGGCCCCTGCCACGCCACCACACGGCCACTCCCAGCTCTGACAGCCTGGGAGCTCAGGCCTGGTTTTCCTGAATTTCCAACACAGGGATTTGGAGCATCATGGCAGACCGTGTGCACTCAGGCCGGGAGGCCCTCACGCGGCAGCTGGCAGGCCCTGCTCAGGCTCAGGTCCTCCCCGAGGGCTCACGCTGGCTTCTCCTTGCAGCCTGAGCACCTGTGGCTGGGCAGCGTGCACACACAGGCACCCCATGCACACCATATACCACACACACACACACAGACACGGAAAGGGCACGTCCACATGGGGAAGGAGACCTCAGTGAGGCGAAAGGCAAATACCTGCAGGATTAGAATCAGGAGCCCAAGGACAGGGTCCTGCCCACGCTGGTGGGGCTGCCCCCAGCCTCCCTCCCCAGGGACGGGCCGCACCCTTCCCTCAGGCCCGCAGGCCTGCCTTTTCTGAGCTTCTCCAAAGAGCTGAGCAAACCGCTGCCTCTTTCAGCCTCTCCTCCTTCCTTTGATCATGTAACAGGAACCAGGGAAAAGGGAAAAGTAAAAATACCCTGTGAGTGAAAGGAGTCGGGAGAGCAGGGGGCGGCTGCCTCCATCAGCAGGGGGAGGGGCGCCGGGTGGGGCGGCTGGAGCCCTCAGACCACCACCCTCCAAGGTGGAAACAGCCAGGAAAGCTCACACCTGGGACAGCTCGGGGACCCCTCTCCCGGGAGCCCCGGGGCGGCTGTGGCTGCAGCTCCACCCAGGCGGTCTCTTCTCCCTGACCTTCCCTCTCGCTCCCGCACTCTCTCCCAACCCCGTCTCCACCTCCCTCTCTAGCCCTTGCTCCAGGGGAGGGCAGACTAGGCAGGAAGGGATGCAGAGAGGGAAGAGCACACAATCATCTCCACTCGGCAACAGCTCGAGGGCATTTCCCAGAACATTCTCTCCTGTGAAAGGGGAATGAGGGGAGCTGGGGGGTGGGTGAAGCCCACTCGCCCTCCCGGCCACCTCCACCTCCGAGGGCCACAGAGAGGGCTCGGGACCTGCCTCGGGCCCTTCCCAGTCCTGACAAGCAGGCGCCCACGCTTCCCCCAGGTCTAACCTAATCCTCCCCGGCAACCAGGGCCTGAGCCAGGAAGAACCACAACCACAAAACAACCAGATCCAAACATCGCTGCTGTGACTTACTAAACTCCGATCCGGTTCTCACAGAGCTGCGTTTTATTCTCCCAAACCTAAGGGAATGGAATTTTCCCAAACTCCAAAACAAAGGGCAGCAGCAGAGGGACTGACCCTGCATGGGGGGGAGGGGGGGGCCTGTGGGGAC